ACGGCTGTTATTAATGGCATAATGGACTTCCACTGGCTCCATTTGTTGAAAAGGTTGTCGCGCAGCGGGTCGTTCCAGGCGATACCAGAGCGCCATACGTCTTTTAACAAGATCTTTAACCCCACCGTGTAGAAACAAACAAATCTAGTAGGGTCGAAGATCGACATTAGAACTTGGAGCGCCTCTCTTTTCGTCGGGATGATCGGTTCAATAATGACGTCGTGACGGAGTCTTGCAAATCTGCAAATATATTTAAAATGATCGCTTATTGGGTCCCAAAACATACCTAGCACTTTCGTGGTTGAGCCCCATTCCTTGACAGATTGAACTGACGTAGGATCTTCTTCGAGCTGATCCACGACATATTTGGAGTTTGAAGACCAGCCACGTATGTTGAAGCCAGCAGCGCCGTGAATTTTTTTGATTTGTAGAGCTAACTCTAGTGCAGTCAATAAAGTCATCCATAATGGTTTTCTTCACAGCTTCTACGGCGCGAGGAAGCTCGTTTTTAAAACGATCAGCATTTTTGTCACGTATGTAGAGAGCGATAAATGGTGCCCAATTCAATCCGAAAGTCAACGCTTGCATGACATAAATACTTGGATGCTGGGGATCATCATCTTCATCGCACCCCAAAAATCGCTAAGCATGCATGTCGGTGTCCCGGATATTGATGCGGTGAAACATCTACGCTATATCACCGCATATAGCTACTCTGCCCACTCTGAAAGCTAATAAAATACCAACAAGAGGGTTAAGCAAGTCTGGGCCACTCAGCAGGAAGTCATTGAGCGACACCCGTTCACCTTGGCAGCAGCATCTCACACCATCCGGATTAGTTACGATGAAAATAGGCAAATACCACGCTTTGTCATTGGAAACAGCAGCCTCAACTCGGGAGAACTTTTTAGCGTACCCTTTGGAAAGTTATTGATCTGAACTTGAATGTTAGATTTTAACGTAGGGTCCTTAACAAACTTTTTCTTCAAACCCATCAGTCGTTGCAAGGCATAGGCATAGTTATCTGGTAGCGATACAGTTGGGTTACGCCAAGGCAGCCCAATTTCGAGGTGGTGACCGACCTTTTGACATGTGTCGTTCGCAATGCTCACGGCCTTTGCATCTTGTTCCGATAGTAGCTGTGTAGGTTTAGACGACTCTAACGCGTAGAATTCCTTTACAGTCTCGTGAAACTCATCGTATCTTTTTTGGCGATCGCATGTATGTACGCTTAGTCGATATTCGCCAGTTTGTCTCGAATCACACCCTTGTAACGTCCAACCTAAACGAATCTTTGACGCTATGGGCTGGAACCAGGTCCCTTCTCTAATTTTGAAAGGAATTGCCAACCTTCAATTGTCCGCACCGATCAACAATGATGGCCTCACGTTTTCGTACGACACAATCGGCAATCCCGCTAAATATGGATATAGGCGCTCCATCTCGGATGCGTTGATTGACTGCGCTGGGAGATCGAGATCATTTTTCAAAATATACTTCTGGCCACAGTATACAGTAATCCAGATAGGCAAAACAAAAAATGTAAATATGCCTATTTGACAATTTGTTTGAATGTATTGGTTGATATTTTTTTTTACAGTGTCCTTTGCGTTAACCCAAATGAAATCAAATTTAATATTTTCTTATAGTTAAAAATATTTTAAAGTCACATAAAATAAAATAACGGGAAAAATAAAATTCCAAGAAAATCAGGAGTGAAGCGTTAGCGATTGTGACCGAATGTAGTTCCTACATAAGTCATACCGCGTTCCGGACACAACTTTGAGTGAATAATTGAATGAATAAGGGCTGACTTTGGAAAATGGTCACAACGATCATCGATAACGAAAAGATTTGGTTCAGCCGTGTCTGTTTGTAAATACGCTAAATCGAACAAAATAGAGATATCTTAACGAAAGTCGGTGCTGAAATTGCCTTTGGTATAATTTAAGTTAGTATTAGATTTTGGCGAAATCTGTCAATAACTACGCCCACCTCCCATGTAGTAATTAACAATACTTTTGTTTTATTATTATGTTTTTTATGAATTTTTCTGTTTAAATTTGCATTTCGAATATATCAACAAACCTTTGTCGGTACTTTTGCACCAGCCGTTGCCTATGGCTTAATGACAAAGAAATCCTCCACATGCACAATATTTCATGTATTAATTTTCAAATAAGCATATTGTCAATGGCTGGTTTACTGTATACTGTGCTTCTGACCACTTGTCGCACTCGAAATTTCGATGGCAGCCCTGACAGAATTTTCTTCAATCCGCGTTGTGTTGCCTGTCCACCGCAAGCAAATAGGGTCCCGTTCACCTTCCAAGCCAAGTTCATCGAGGATTCTCTTTTCCATTAGCGTCACAGAAGAGCCTTCATCTAAAAATGCAAATATTTCCAGTACTTTATTGTTTGAATAAATGCGAATAGGAACGATTCTGAAGAGTGGTTGCAATCCTTCGTGACCGCTACTGAGCGTATTTATCTGCACATCTGAAAGCTTGTTGGCATTTGAACTTACGGTGTTGGGTTTCTTTTGACTCGTTACTGCGGTTGTTTCGTGCAGTAACTGATGGGGTTTTACCGTGCAGCCATCTACACCACATACCTTGTTCAGAAAACATTTGCGCTTACGTGGATTCAAGCATTGGCGGCAGAGGTTGTTTGTCTTCACCTCCTCCCATTTTCGCTGGAGAGTCAAATTTTTAAAAACGTCGCATTGCATTACCTTGTGATCGAAGCTGGCGGATGCTGAGTGTTTGCGTCGATGGTGTGCGTGTTAACCATAGCATTACTTTTGGGCGGTGCCAACGAGACCACAGTACTGGCTGCTTCGGCTTGATTGTACAACCAGTCGCTGAACTGTTTCTCTACCGGAATCTTATCGTCTTTCGGCTGAACTGCCCAGTTCAACTTCTGGCCATTGAGGAGCTTGTCAACCAGCTCCTTAACAAGCAGCGGATTATGCAGGTGCATGTGCATTTGGCATCCTTCCATCGTGGCGCAAATGTTCCTGACGCAGAGTACAAACTCAATAAGACCTTCGAATTTATCCTTGAGCGCTGGCATAGCACGAGCTTTATTCATGGCGCGTTCAAGGATGTGTTCAGGTCTCCCAAAACACATTCTAAGAGTTTTTATGATTTCGGGCACCATGGATGGCAAAAACAATTTACTTTTGACCATCTCCCGCGCTTTACCTTTAAGGCTCGCTTGCAGTCTAATTAAATTTTCTGCATTGGCATACCCCGCAACCGTGGTGCTGTTCTCGAAACTGCTAATACACAGCGGCCACTCTTCAGGGTCGACATTAAAGGTTGGAAGCTGTTTAGGGATAGCCTGCCTTGCGGCCAATTGCCCAGGCGCAGGAAAATTCTATGTGCGAACATCGAAGCGTTGGATGAGGGCAGCTCGTTATACTGCGAAAGAATCTTATACTTGTTCTCTAAATATTGCTGTTGTATTTTCATCTCCTCTTCCAGCCTTTCAAGCTGAAGATTTCGACTTATTTCGGAGTTTAACGACATCTGCATACCTTGAGAATTTCGTGCACCTGCATGCGGCACCGATGGGAAAGCTTTTGGCTGATTATACGGTTTGCCAGTTGCGGAGGTAGCGACGTTGCCTATTGCAAATTGCCGTATCGGCGTTGACAAGGGCACCGGGTAGTGCTCCGTAGTTAGCGTCGATAGCTGCTGTCCCTGAACTGATTCACTAGGCCCGAAATTCCAGTATGCAGAGGCCAAAGCCATTGATACTGATGTTGGAAGACTACCAGCGGTGGCAGTAGAAGTTATTATTGTGTTAAGAGGCGGATTGACTCTTGAATCCGATATCTTCGCAGTAGATGGAAACGTTGGTAGAAAATGCACGTGCCGGTTACCTTGCACGGTAGTTGGCGATGACGATGCAGCTGGATGCGTGTTTGTGGTTGATGTATGGTTCTGGCAGCTCTCACAGCTCCAGCTTAAGTCAGCCACATTACTGTCTACTCCAACGCAGTTGAAATAGTACCAGGCGTCGCAGGTGTCACACTGGACCATACTCTCGTTGTCTGCTGCGTCACATTTTCGGCAATTTTGACCCGTTGTTTCCTTGTCCATATTGACCATCGTTGCTAAGATTAACTGGTCTTAATTAAGGTCGATTCGCAAATTTTACTCGAAGACAAAAAAGTTTTAAAGAATTGTTGCGCGTATTTTCAAGCGCGGCAGTTGTACCAATTTAAGTAAAACACAAATTTCTAACAGCGTCCGAGCGCATTAAAACTTTTTATATTTCACCGTATTTTCTTTACAACTGTTTTAATCTGCACCAAGTAACTTGAATTTATAGATGGTCAAAGTGGCCTTATATTGCAGTTAGTTTTAGTAAATATTGTGGCGAATACTGCGGCAACACAAAGCGAACAACGAGAAATAGGCAGAATGTTCGAGGAATGACGTAGAACGTTCCACAAAGAGAAACGTCAAGTTGGACGAACACTGCGAACAGCGAGAGAAAGAGAATGAGCGATAAACTTCAGAATGTTCTAGAGTTGCCATAAGTGCCAGTGCCGCCACCGCGAGGTGAGTGAGTTACAAGTCAGCAAACTACAAGTAAAGTGAGCAGAGAAGCGAGTTGCGAATAAGCAAGCTATAAGTTTAATTGTGTGTAACAAGTTCAGTAAAGCGTTGTAATTGCTTTAACAAGTATTGTAGTGTTTTTACTGTATTAGCAAGTATTGTAAATTGTTTGTTGTACAATAAAGTTAATTGTACTACAATTTGGTCATCGATTGCATTTATTTAACAATCCAGCGATACGAACCGGAAGATTTGGGAAATCCGGACGAGGGTTCAAGGATAATCGTAATACCAAGTCCCCACCAAAAAGTTAACCATCTCAAATCGAACTTAACCACATCACTAACTATTGCTGTCCACACTATGGTTTGTGGTTTAGCAAACAGCTGTTTCCGTATTGTTTGTTTACATTGGCAGAATATTGTGTATGAAGTGCAATATGAGTTATCAAATCATAAAAATTGTGTTCTTTTTCATAAATATTTTCACTTCGGTGGAAGTAATGGAAGAATTGTTCGACTTAAGGCGGCAATTATTGAGAAGATTGCTCATTGCGCAAATGATTCTTAAACTAGCTTGTGTATGTGACTGCGCTTCAATAAGGTCCTGCTGGACGAAGGTGTTATACTATCTTTTTACTAATTTATTCAGTTAAATTAATTTGCATATATGTATATGAACGTAATCCAGATCCGTCGCCAGACATTCTGGGAAGTCGATTGCCAGCTGAATTCGGAAGTATTTTTTAAGAGTAACTTTCGAATGAATCGTAAATCCTTCAGAAAATTGTGTCATATGTTGATTGGTATGGAAAGAAGAAATACCCACTATCGGAAAGCAATTGTGTTGGAGAAACGAGTTGCAATTGCATTGTACGCGCTTGGCTCTTCCGCAGAATACCGCACAATTGCAAATATGTTCGGAGTTGGTAAAAGTACTGTCGGCCGCATATTAATTGAGTTCTGCCATGAGGTTTGGAAATGTTTGTGGCCTTTATATTTAAAAAATTTTCCAATGACCGAAGTTAAGTTAAGGGAATTCATAAATGGCTTTCAATCACTAGGTTTCCCTTAAGTCTTAGGAGCCATTGGTAAGAGATTAAAATTTTTTACTGTGGAACTGTTGTAACTTTAATTTTTCAGATGGATGTCATATAGAAGTTCATCCAGCAAGAGAGGATGCAATTGACTACCACAATTACAAAGGTTGGTACTCAACCGTACTTTTGGCTTTAGTAGATGCAAGGTACGTTTTTATGTGAAGTACTTTTGTTCTGGTTATAGGAAAATTTATTTTATTCTGTAGATGTCGTTTTATATATATTAATGTCGGCAGCCAAGGCCGTTGCAATGATTCAGCAATTTTTGAGAGCTCCCATTTAAAAAACGAGTTTTTACAATGCAGTTTGTACAAAGATATGAGCAAGCAAATATCTGGGGTCAACGTTCCAGTCGTGTTACTAGGTGACTCTGCTTTTAAGTTAGATGAGCATTTAATGAAGCCGTTTCCATTTAACATTGACCAATCATTGCAACAAAAAAAATTCAATTTTGCCCTGTCAAAATGTCGAAGAGTTGTAGAGAATGCTTTTGGCCATTTAAAGGCCAGGTTCAGACGGGTTGGAAAAGGTTTGGACAACCAGATGGTAAACACCACATCAATAATAAAGGCATGCTGTATTTTGCACAATTTCCTTAATGAGGAAAATGATGAAGTCAATGAAAGATGGATTTCCGCACAGCAAACTGAAGAACAAAGTCGACATCGGCCAGAAAGTACTCCCAACAATTATGGAAATTTTAATTCGAGAGCACAGGAAATAAGACAAGCATTCGTTTCATATTTTGGTACGTATTTTATTAATTCTGACGACGCAGAAATTCAACAAATGCATTTTTCATTTCTGAGACATCGCTGACATATCGTTCCAACAACACAAATCGTTTTTCGTCCGCCTGACGCATTTCCTCTGTTACTTTTAAAAAGTCATGATGAACTTCCTCCATCACTGCTACTGCAGTTTTTTTCTTTCTTTTTGCAGATTCACTGGTGGAGGGCCCGTTACAGGATTCTACAAGGGAGCACTGAGAATTGAGAACTAGAGTACCAGTTTGTGACTCTCCATCAGTGTCACATTCAATAAGATATTATTCAGTAATGGTGTAGTCCAAATCATCTGAAAATATATAATTCGCACAAAAAACTATTTAAGCCTATTCCGGTCCGACGGATGCTATTCGCACGAATCTAATCCTTCACTCTCGCTTGTTACGACAGTGCAAATCAGATTATTTCCATGCGGATGGCATCCGTCGGATACCGTAATAGGTATGACTAAATAAAAGGTCTTATTAAGTACACCTATTATGCTATCCTCTTGCAGCGCAACTGCATCAAAGCTCTTATGTGCACCGAGAACTTCGTGGACTGCCCCATAATGCTTCCACTCTGATGGAGAGCCACCGGATGGACCAATTTTCGCCTTTTCTTGTCTATGGAGATAATAAATTAATAAATAAATATCTATGCTGATATAAATTCAGTACTTACCTGTATTTTTTTGATAAATTGTGAAGCTTTGTCTTCACTTCAGCGGCAGTGATATTATGGCCACTATTATCCAGCTCGACTGCCATTTCTTCATAAATGTGGCCATTCTTCCTTACCGACCGCAGCTCTGGCATTTTTTCTCGCCATAACTCAATCAGGAGTTCTTCTGCGGCATCGCTCCACAAAATACGTTTTTTTTTGCTTTCTGTCGCCATTCTTTATAATTTGAATATGCATTTGAATGTGACATTTTGAAATTTTAAATCAGCTGTAGTGAACGTATTTTTTGAATTTTAACGATAACGACTCACAGATGGCGGGAAAAACACAGGGTTGTATCAGATTTTCAACGTGGTTTTGAGTTGGTTATCTTGTAACCATCTCAATAAAATGGTTAAGTGCTGTCATTTTTATATGGCGAAACCACACTAATTCAAGTGGGTTATCGGGATAACCAACTCAACAGCCATAACTACGTGGTTAGCCCCGGTGGGGACATGGTATTACAATTGGTGTCAGAAGTGGGATTGTTAAATAAATTCCGAAGGAGAAACTACTAAAAATGGCGAAAATACAGGACTTAAAAATTGAGGAGCTGAAACAGGAGTTGGAAAAGCGTAATTTGGCCACCTCCGGAAGAAAAGTGGAATTGTTATCCCGGTTGCGAGAGGCTATGGAAGCTGGAGGCATCGACGTGGACAAATACGACTTCCAAGGTAAACCCGACGATACATCCGCAAAAGACGAACAGAAGGATGAGGCTGCATGTTCGTCGAAGAATGTGCAACAGACATCCGGGAAGGTTGAAGAACAGCAAAAGGCTCCTTCGTCATCAACAGTTATGGACATGAACAGGTTATTGGCTGCCATGTCACAGATGATGCAAGCACAGGATACACGCATGTCAGAGATGTCATCACAGCTGTCAACTCAGATGCAAACACAATCGTCAGATGTTTCATCGCAGATAATCTTGCAGACTATTCCCGACTGTGAAAGGAACAGTTACGATGCGTTAATGGGTGCAGTGGAAAGACGTTATGGTAGCGAGCACAGGAGACAGATTTACCAGATGGAGCTGGAGAATCGCTGCCAAAAAGCCAACGAGACTCTACCCTGCAAAAATCGTTGGATCATGTAATCTATTTGTGGTATATTCGAGTACTTACAAAAGTGTTCCTCTGTCATGCTGTAGCGGACCAACTCGTGTCTCTGCACCAGCTTATTGTTTGTTACCCGATCGCTGCTCGTGTTTTAACGAAATGTGATTGAAGTTGAGCATTTGAAAGAACATTTGCATGTCTGGCTGTAGCTGATGGATGGAGTATATGGTCCTGCCCTAGGACATCGCAATGTTAATTGGACCATATTTTTTATATGAATTGTGGTTAATTTTGGAGTACTCCTTGGTCCTTAGGGAGTACTCTTCACATGCATGCATGGAGTAGACGCGATTTTTGCAGGGTACAAGAATTCGCTTCGGAGATCGAGAGGCTGGCTCACTTGGCTATTGGAGACGCAGCTGGTGAACACCTTGAAAGGGTAAAAATCCAGAGGTTCATCAACGGAATGCGGGACATGTATACCAAGCGAGAGACGTATGAAAATCCAAAGCCAACATTTGCTGAAACTGTCTCGTATGCTCAGACGCGTGAAACGGCGGCGCTCCTAAGTAGACCAGCCTACAAAGCACATCGTGTGGAAGTGGAAGCACCGGAAGACACAAATGAAATGCTGAAGAAGATTATCCAACTGCTGGGCGAGAAAAAGCATGACTCTGGCAAATGTTTTAAATGTGGAAAGCCAGGCCACTTCGCCCGCGATTGCAGCGCAAGTTCCAGTGGGCTCAACAATTCAGCAGGACGCAAACACAGGGCTGAAGGAGACGAAGCCAACTTCAATCAGTCGTTAAACTGAAACGAGCCAGCAGGAAGGGCCGCGTGCTGGCTCCAGAAGTTGAAGGGCCCATAATCTCCGTCTCCCAAATTGGCCGGAATGCGAGCAACCTCACTATTGGTGGATGTGTGAATGGGCAGGAGAGAGTACTGACAGTGGATACTGGAGCGACACATTCCATTATTCGACCGGATTTGGCCACTTTTTATGTGAAGCCACTATGTAGACGGCAAAACTTCCAGGAAATAAAAGAAACCCATAAAACTTAAGGTTTGATATTAATAACTCTTTATTTCGCTTTATACGGCTCAGATACGGCTCAGTTAAAAAATTTGATGTTTTCTCAGCGTCTGTAATTTCGTGAATCATCGAATTCATGGAAACAATCTTCGAAACAATCAAATTCAACGTTCGAAATTGATACCTAAATGCTTTGCGCAGTATGTATGTATACATGTTGCGTACATGTGTATATGTTACAAAT